CACTCTGGAAATTGCTTAACATCTATGGTTTCCCCATCAAATATATCAACATCATAAAATCTTTTTATAATGAAACACGATGCTGTGTAAGAAGTGAATCCGGCAATTCTGACTGGTTCCCGGTGGAAACAGGAGTGAAGCAAGACTGTGTCCTATCGCCGATGCTTTTTGGTATAGCAATCGACTGGGTCATGCGCAAGTGCATAAATAACGCAAATTTAGGCATTACATGGGTTGACAAAATTCTGGAAGACCTAGACTTCGCCGACGACATAGCACTCCTGAGTTCAGAACACACAGACGCCCAAGAAAAAATCAATCCACTCCAGAATTTCTCAGAACAAATTGGACTCCAAATTAACACCGCAAAAACAAAAATTCTAGACCTTACCAACAGTTCAGTTGATATCACGCTGAACAACAACAGCCTTGAAAAAGTCAACAGTTTCACTTATCTAAGGAGCAAGATGTCATCTACAGGAGATACCGCACCAGAAATACCATTTAGAATAGCACTGGCATCTAGTGCCTTCAATAAACTGTCCAACATCTGGAAATCAAAGACACTTAGCAAACACACAAAACTCAAGATCTTCAATTCTTGTGTGATTCCAGTACTAACCTATGGATGCGAGAGCTGGAAATCAACGAAAACTCTAGACACAAAATTAGACAATTTTGAAAATAAATGCCTTAGAAGAATACTAAATTTCAAATGGTCAGATTTCCGAACCAATACACAAATAAGGCAAGAATCCAGGCAAGAGTATGTGTCTAATTTTATACGAAAACGCCGCTGGAACTATGTCTGCCACGCCCTTAGAATGGATAAATCAAGACTTCCTTACCAAGCCCTCATTTGGACACCACAGGGAAAAAAGATCTCGTGGAAGACCAAGGGAAACTCTACGTAGAACTATCATCAGGGAAGGCTCGCACATGGGCCACTCAAACTTCCAAAACCTACAACAGATTGCAACGAACCGCCATGCATGGAGAGTCATTACCTCTGCCCTATGTGCCGCACTCGACACAAGAGGAAAGACTAACTAACTAACTAACTTACAGCTGGTTTGTGACATCTGTGCCTTCACTTCAAGCCCAACGCATTTTACAATATCCTTGTTAAAACGGGCAGTTGGTCTGTTGTCCTCCACCGGAACACTGTAGCTTACCATGCAGGTTTGAGATCTGGCTCTGTAGCCTCAATGAGAGATTTGTTAACATTACATGACTCGCGTTAAACCATCCAGTTCTGTCAGCCCACTGTCGCATAAACTCACAAATCTGTTTGGCTCAGCGCAAGACTGAACACCGCTGGGTAATGACGCAATCGTTTCTAATATATCCTCTTCATGTTTTTCCACCAGGATTTTACTTCACCATTATATAATATTTACAGCATAGACCTGTATTTTCACATACATCATCATGTAGAATAGAAGGTCTTTTCCAGCAATGTTCTGCAACCCCTGGGTCACCACAATGTTCTTGCTGAGTTATGTAATCAGGTAGGGTAGGTGCCAGTCTGTAGGATGCACATCAAGGACTTCTTATTTGAATGAAACGTCTAAAGTTAAACAGATAAATTCAATGGATGTTAGTGTAGCGCATTTTTTCTCCAGCCTTTAGTCAGCAGCAGCTGAAACAAATCAACTGCTATCTACTTTTTGTTCTGTGTCTGATCAACTGTCAGCTGTTTTAGGTGGGGGGTAACAGGTTGAGGCACACTGTTAAAGAGAAGACTCCCATTACAGCCGAAAGAAACAGTCACTCACCAGCTCTCCTGTTCATGCACCTTCCCGCCAAAAGTCTCTCTTACCTATGCTCAGCACGACTATTGTTTTATGCGAAATTTACTGTGATGTTTAAAGAGTTAATGAAGCCGGGGCTTTGTAAAGCATGAATCACTGAGGAAACATAAGTCTTTGAAGTTTATGAAGGGCTTGTAGACATTATGGATTTCGTAGGATCTGTGTCGGTCGACAGCACCTGTGGGTTGTAAACTCCGAATGTTGGCGAGAAAGTTAGATCCACGCGAAATTAACGCGGTTGTGTGAAAAGTGCCGGACTAGTTAGTTTGTTACCTGTGCCTGGCTATAGTGGTGTCTTGTCTGGGCTGGCCGTCCTTTGTTAAACTTATAAACACCATCAGCATGTGCCCTGCCAAGGAAAGTGAGCAGTTATAGTTCATCAGCTGTGAGAACTGTGTGCCTATGTGTGGGGGACTGACATTTATAAACAAATCCCTAGATACTTGGCATTCCCTGACTGCCCACGTCATCTGTCTTTATGCTAGTTGGCCCTTGCCCCTTGCACTATATCCTCAATTTCTGTCCTTTCCAAGCCATTGCTGCTTTGATATGGACAAAGTATATCAGCCTCAGAGACAAGATACTGGCCATGAGCCTATATCTGTATTTACACACATTTACACAATTACCACCAATACATATCAAAATAACACCCAACCCAGGTGCAAATAACACTTTTAATATTCCCCCTCAAAGTGAAATTGGCTATAGATGTAATAGTTTATCACCAAACATAACAACAAATGTATAAATTAACAAACCCCCTCATTATAATACTATTGCAATATAAAAATTACATTTAAATATATATAAAGATCAGCAGTTTCAGCTTAAATGGATAGCATTCTCTCCTCTAAAACAAATGCATATAACTTTACTTTGGTACAACTCCGGTTTTCAGGCCCCAACTCTGTATTTGGCTGTTCACTGATGCGTCTTAACCTTTCACATGCGCAACTTTCTCTGACAGGGGTGTCAGGTTGCATAGTCTCCTACACTATCACCATGGGGGAGGGGGCTCAGTGGTCTCAAGGTATGGTGTCCACCTCGTGTTTTGGAGGTCCCAGGTTCGTCCTGGTGAAGGCTGGGATTTTGCACATGGATTTCTAGTAATTTCCCCTGGTCTCTGGGTAGTTAAATCAGACGCCCGTGTGTATTCTTGCGCACGTAAAAAATCCCTTGACAGTTGGAAACCGAAAAGAGTAGCCTAACGAGGCTGCCCGGGCAAAAAATTTGAAGTAAAAATCTACCTCAAGTATTTCAGGATCCTTGCCGGTGCAGCAGAGTTTGTGGACTGCACTGAGATTCTTCAGACTCTTAACTCCAACCCCCCTAGGGAACAGCCTCAGCCTAAGCCCCACGAGAGAATGCATTCTAACCTGACACAACTGTGAGAGAAAGTTGCATGTGTGAAAGGTTAAGATGCATCAATGAACGGCGAATAATGGTGTCGCTGGGCCCGAAAACGTGAGTAGTTCCTTCGTTTTATATATCAACATAAGTAGATTCAAAATTGTTATAAAAAACCTATAAACTGCATATTCACAACATTCACATACCAACTCCAAACTTTGGTTCGAATAATCATAAATAAGAATGGAAAGATATTACCCTTATCTGTCCCAAACTGTGGTAAAATACATACATATATGTGAGTTCACCAGTGTTTAAACCATACATACACATTGTCCGTGTGTTTACTAGGGCCTAAAACATACATACACATTGTCCATGTGTTTACCAGGGCCTAAAACATACATACACATTGTCTGTGTGTTTACCAGGGCCTAAACCATACATACACATTGTATGTGTGTTTACCAGGGCCTAAAACATACATACACATTGTCCATGTGTTTACCAAAGCCTAAAACATACATACACATTGTCTGTGTGTTTACCAGGGCCTAAAACATACATACACATTGTCTGTGTGTTTACCAGGGCCTAAAACATACATTCACATTGTCCGTGTTTGCCGGGGCCCAAAACATACATACACATCATCCATGTTCATCAGTGTAAACTCCGACAGAATGTTCTGGTTGTTCTAGAACCTGAGTTTTGCATTTACATCCATTTTGCAGATCTTTCATATTTGTATGCAGCCTGTTGGTTCCTTGAGTCTTAGGCAGATGCACTCCAACTTTGAAGGAAATCCGTAATTAGTCAACTCTTATGACATGCTTGGTAAGAAGGCAGTGGTTAACCCCCCCCCCCCCCCCCCCCCCCCAACAATGGGAGTCCCAGAACCCACGCAAGGAGCTCTTTCAATCAAAGACCTATTATAATCTACCCGACCCTATCTGTAGTTAGTATAACAAATATGTTATATTAACCCATGTTATCCCAAATCTTACTTCAACTTATTGACACAGGTAATGGGTCAGTCCAAGATAGTAACCCACGCAAGGACGCGGCAATTCTCAATCAAAGACCTATTATAATCTACCCGATTCCCTATCTTCACATAGTTATGTAATACAGAGTCAAACACAATCTGAACTGGAAAGATGACATTAAACTGCCATTTAAAGTTGATAAGGCACTAGAAAATAAGAAATATTTTGAACAGAAAATATGTGCATATAGCATTTATAAATAAACATCTTTTAAAAAACCCTGTGACATTTAGGGAAAGCAGTATCATTTGAAACCACATTAATTTAATAACATTACATGATTTAAATGATAAGTGTCAGAAAATAAATTAATGATGAACAGAACATATTATATATCAGTGTCATAAACATCTTTTAAAAAAACAGCTGATTCCATCTCCACAAGGGAGGTAAGCCGCAGCAGATATGTGCGCCATGGCTCTCTTTGGGAATACTATGTGGTGAGGCCCCAATCTCTACCACAGTGGGACTCTCATACTACTGTCCAAGAACCATGTGAACGTTCTTTTTCTAGGTGATTAAACATGGACACTGAACACTGGTACATTAAGGATTTGTGTTTGAGTGAATCATTCACTAATCTCAACGCTACATTACAATACATAATAAGGTAACTGGCAAACAATATAGTATAATATAGACACTTTGGTAATTCTGATGTCATCTCTATGATATAACAGACATATACATTTATGCAAAGGGAAGGGTCCAGCCTTTCCCAGAACTGATACTTAAAGAAGGGACCTTGAGTTCTGGAGAATATCGGTCTTCCGGTTTCTCATCGTTAGATCTGGGTAGAGCTGCAGCAGTCGGCACTGGTGGTTCCATTTGGGTTGATGTGTTTGTGTGTACATCTTTCAGCTGCTGTAAAGTGTCAGCTGAGCTTGATGATTTAGTACTTGCAGATTCAGTGGTTTGTGCTTCTACATTTTCTTCATTAGACATTGGGGCCTGGCAACCGTTTTGTGGTGTACTGGTCTTGTCAAGGCTTGCGGTAGGTGTGGGTTCAGATACTGTGTCTGAATAATAGGTCAGATTCAATTGTGAGGCTGTGGGGTTCTGCAAGATTCCAGTATGTTGCTGCGGTGTACAAGAATCCTTGTGTACAAATTCTGAATTGTGTACATCAGACACGTTGTTCAAACTATGCCCAGTTGTAGCAGAGACCACTTCTAAAGAAGCATGATTACTCCCAGGAACAGCAGCAGAATGTGTAGGAGTATCTTTAATGACCTCTAGTGTGTTTTCAGATCGGGTGATTTCCCCAATGGAAGGGGCACACACAACATCAATCTTTTCACTGTCAACCGCCAGGCGTGGGTCATGAAGGGTGGAGACAGCAGTGAAGTTTGTCAACTGTGGGATTGCTTGGATGGTCAACTCCATCTCTTCGGCTGTAACTTCCATGGAAAGCTTCTCCATGAGCTCCACAAGTTTCTTGGCTTTCCTGACCTCGTTTTGGTGGATGATTGTGTACAGGTGTTCAGTCAAATGTTCTTTGGTTTCACATTTAGAAAACAGGTCCATTTTGGCAGCAACAAATTCTTTCTCTGCTTTTTCATAACGCTTTCTGCAAGTGTAAAGAAATGTGAAAGATTATTATTTTGGTTACCCACTTATACCCTCTTTATCTCACTGTTAACACATATGGCATTCACAAGTAAACCACCCCTGTGCTTTTCTGCTTATGCTATCCCATGTCAGATTATATTTCTTATTTTTATTTTCGACAGTCTTCTCCAGGTTTCCTTAGGTTGTCCACCTCTCCCTTTTTTTCCATTTGCCGTCCACCAGACAGTCTTCAAACATGTCCAGCCCTCTCTGTCTTCTTCCTCTGATAACATCTGCTAGTAATGAGCACTTGTTCCTCCTCAGTTCACCTGTGATTTTATGTGGCCAAAAATGTCTCAAAATTCTTCTTATAAATTTACTCTGATAATCTGGTGTTTGATTTGTTGTTGTTGTTATCGATCCAGCAGCACATGAGCTTTCGCCCTTTGGCCCAATGCCATGTAGTGGAATTTACATATTTTCACAAGCTGTTCTTTTCCTCCATACAAGGTTTTCCACCTGTCTGGTCTCAGAGGGAGTAGCATTCTTCTAGTCTCGTTGAGTTGTTTGATTTGTTAAATCCTAGACAGTTGCTACCAAAACCCTGTTTGTGGTTTTACTAGGCAATTTTTTTAAAAATGTTCCTTAGTTTGCCACTGCAGTCTGAATGGTCAAATCTTGACACCACTGACAATACCAAAGCCAAATTGTCAGCAGTTAGGACCAAACCATGTACCTTGAAATACACCCAAACAAAACTTTTGAAATATTATTAGAGGTAAAAATGTTACACTGTTTAAAGCTGTAATGCTTTCATTACATCATAATAATCTCATACAAGGTCTCTCTGCTCTCATGGCTATGTCAACAGAACACCGTTTATTACGGTCAAAGGGAAGCAATAAATATTTTTGTCCTTTGTGTTTGGTGATTAATTCCCTTAGTTGAAAAATTTGTTTTTGGGCAATAATAATTAATATGAATTATTTTATTGATTTAACCACAACGATTTAGCTGTGGACATCATGCTTGTCTACCTGCTCAGTGGTCAAGGAGTTTGGTCTCCTGCATGTTTGTAAAAATGACCCAAGGTTCGAAATGTCTTCTGCTGCTGCTGATTGTCTTCCTCTAGAATTATAATTAGGCATTTCTCTTTAATAAAATTTGGAAAAAGTCTTTTTTTTTTGGTGAGTTTACTAGTACTGAAGGTGTCCAGAGAGACTATAGAGGCATTTTATTTGGTTCTAACTCAGTCTTTCTAAAGTATTTTTCAATTAAGCAACCAGCCAAACACAGAAAAAAAAGTATATAATAAATGGCTACTCACTGGGCTTCCATGTACTCCAGACTAGCTGCTTCAATCTTGTCTCGTATGATGGTGATATCGGCGGTCAACAACGTGTCCAGGTGGTTCAATTCTTGCTGTACTTTCATCAGTTTTTCTGCTTCTGCCTTGGCTTTCTTTCGCCTGTAAACAGAGACAAGACAAATGAACTGTGTACGGTAAAAGACAAAAACTGAAATGTTAGAAATAAGTCTTAGAACACCTTCGATCAAGAAGAAGAAGAAAATGATTCTACAACATCAGAACAGCCAAGATAGCTGGTTGATAAACAAAATGCAAATGAAATACTTCAGCAACACTAAAAACAATACTGGTTTAGAAAGAAGAGCATTCAAAGGCATGGCTTCTGGAGAAGAGGCAGGGTTGACCAGCAGAAAGGTGATCATAAGACATTAGAGATGGCCTGGGCATCAACGCTATGATGCAGGTGAACAGGCAAGAGACATCCTTTCTGACAGGTTAGGATAAAAGCTATGTCTACACATGACCTGCTACATCATGGTAATGGTTAAACTAATGTAAGCAATAATCAAGAAGACAATTCTAGTAGTTTTGCCACAGAAAAAGAAAAAACCCAGTAGACCAGGGTAGCATAGTGGCTAGCCATACATCTGCTGACCCGATGGTCTTGGGCTCAAGCCTCACAGAGGTGGGTTTTTCAAAACTGCACGAAGCTCTGGGTGCAGTTAAGGGTCAGCAACTGATAAGAGGAAAGTCATGGATGGCTCAGGTAGAAGACACAATCTGACAGATTTGCATTCTTGAGAACATTAGGCCAGGAGAGGAGTGGGTCAAAGTGCCACCTGAACAGTCAAACTTGTGTAGGGTCATAATCACACTGAGCCGGAAATGCAGAGATTGGCCAGCAGGTGGCACAGAGATGGAAATTCAGCAAATAATTCAAAATAACGCTCCCCCAAAAGATTTAATCATTTACACAGGCGGTTTAGTGTCAAGAGGCTAAATAAGTGCTTGAGGTTTCTTAGCAAAAGTTAATGGTCGACGTTTGGTGCAGGAGAGCCTAGCATATGATACCACAACATCCAGCTTAAGAATGGAGGTGGAGGCGGTCACTGCAGCTTTCCATTGGTTAGAGAGCATGACACACACACATTGTGATTGTAAATGACTCAGAAGGCATGCTGAGGAAGATGAGGACAGGCATGCTTCGTGCAGAGTGGCATGCTTCGCTGTGGAGGACACGGGTGTCAAGGAGTGAACAACCAAAACCTACAGTGGACTATTCGTGATGTTGACGCCCCTAGCGGGCAGGTCACATTTCAAATTTAAACCCGTCCGGTGGGTATATAGTCCCTCATATTGATATATACCTCTATCTGATGGAATAAATATTTCTAGACCCTCTAGTTGTTTTGAGAAGTCTACATTTTCAAACTTTCAACTGTGGGATAGATATTCTCTGGAATGATATTCCGAATTCCTGGAAGCCTTTTTACTCCTTGGGGCACTAATACAGGACTTTTTTTTCTAGAGACGCCAAGCAAAATCTGGCGGGGTCATTCTTTGCCAGACCTCCGAGGCGTCTAGATGTATTTCAACTCTCTGATTAAATCATGGCGCATTCAAAATACCAGTTTAATCTTTGAAGGATTCCTAAGCTTGGGTAAATTGATTATAGTTTACGAGTACCATGAAATAAGTCTCTATAAAGTTAGCCGCTGCTACAGGGAGGGAAGATTCAGCTGTGTGACCGCACAGAACAAGGCCGTTCTTGGTGTCAAGAAACTCAAGCCTCTGAAATCAAACCTTTCCCTTCGCAGGCTAATAGTTTGTGCCATACATGACCCACACCATTTTAAAGATATTAAACCCAGCAAGTTAATTATTCTCTAACAAGACAACGGAGTTTGTGTTGACTAGAAGACATATTTAACTGGGTCGCACGTCGGCCAGCTAGGCGCTCTGAGTCAGAGGTTATTTTTAGCACAACAACACTGGGCGTGCAGTGGGCAGATTGTGGAGGTATAAAATATGCATGTAAGAACGGGATAAAATGTTTGTCTGCGGTTGCAGATAAGAGGGTGGAGAGAGGATGATCTATGTGTAGTAGTGTCTATCTATCTCCACTATGTACCTTGTCTCCTATCTCTTGTACTGACTTACAGACAGATAAATGAAGGGGAAATTGTCTCCTGTTCTTGAGAGTTATCCTCTGAGTGACTGAGAAGTGTAGAGGGAAATAAATTAAGCTTGGTGTGTGAATCTTAAGATGAATTCTTATTCTGAGTTTTTCCTGACAGCATGATACCTCCTTAGAGGTCAGGCAAACGAGTCACAGTCCAGCCAACAATCACCAACCCATACCATCCCTATCACCAAACTTACCCAAAATCCTACCTATTGCTACCACAACTTCAACATGACAGGAGCTTGTGTGTGAGTTCCAGTGGCTGAGAGACAGTTTTTGCAGGCCACCTGTGTCCTCACTCCAAGGAAGCCTTCCTCAGGAGCTTTGTTGGGCTCCAGCACAGTTCCTTTGGTCTCAAATGTGAGACGTGTTAGTGTTTACCAGATCAACCAGAGGAAGAGCAGACTATTGAGTCAGCCTGTTCAAGTCACCATGGACTGAGGGGAGCAGTGACCTACCAAATTGGATAAGTAACATCTGAGATGACATACCACATGCTCTATTGACATGTCTACCCATAGGCACTATGATGATTCATGTACACTCTGACATTTGTCTGGCTGTTTCAACATCATCTCTTCGACGTTAGTTCCAGAAATCCAGTCAGTGGGAACCATCTTGATTGTCTTGATATTTAAATATATATGTTGCAATTATTACATCCATTCAGAAATTTTCATGGCTGACTTGGGTGTCCCTGTTTCACTATTTTGTCTAGCTTTGATGTTTGTGTGATTAGTAAGTGTAATCTGTGTTAATATGGCTATGATAGTATGCTATCATAGCCTAGGGGCTATCTTTTTATAGTAGTGGGGTGTCCAGCCAAGTGTGCCTAGGATTACTAGATATTCTTTAGTACCAGAACTTGAGTTGCCCTATTCCTGAAATAAGTTGAGCGTATAGGCCACAGGATATCCCTTAGACCAATACGAGCTGATGCCTCAACATTATTTATTTCAGAGTGCTGTTGGTTCATAAGGAGAAATCCTTAAATCAGGCACGCAACACGAGCGGTATGTGACAACAGGTGAGGAGTATTGTCTGGATTTTTTCACCGGGGAATGCAGGTGTGTTGGGAAATGAACAGACGGACAGACTGGCTGGCTCTGCATAACTTGGTGGAATACTGATGCATGATAGGGCAGATGTGGTTAGTGCCTTGTGGGAGAGCGTGTACAATTCGGAGGAGCAGATGGATCACCACAGTCTGGTGAGATTGATGCAGGGAGGAGTGACAAGAGGTTCTGGCAGAAGCTCGAGGCTCAGAGGAAAGGCAGGACGGACATTTAATCAGAATGCTACCAGCATAATTAGTATCATAACTCTTCCCTGGCTGCTGAAGATGGGGACGGAGCACTTATGGGAATGCCCTGAGTGCTGTGATGTCGGTTTTTGAATCAATTCAAATAAAATCAAAACTGACCTTGGTTATTTGTCCAGTTCTAGACTTTGGTCATGTTCCAAAACTTGAGTTTTGTGTGCACACTCATTGTACAGATCTGGTTTTATAAATAAGACTGCTGGTCTCTCACCTTTCCGGCAAATGCAGTCTGATGTTGATGGAAAACTCCTTAATTATTCACTTTTACAACACTTGTTGGGGAGGCAGTGGATCTATCCCTCCCTTCCCCCCACCCAAAACCCACATGGGAACACCAAAGACAGGAAAAGCTTCTTTAGATTTGAATCTGTAAAAGCCACACTGGAGAAGCAAAACATGAATAGCAACCTACCATGAGTGTGCAACATGGACAAGAAGGAGAAACTGCTAGAGATCCTGTGACATTCGTCTTGACTGTTGGAAAACAAGATGGACTATTATTCAAAGTGTTACTGGTACTATTGGAATTGGAACTCTTCATTGGCTACTGAAGATCAGGATTGAGCGCATATGGGAATGTCCCGAATGCTGTGACATCAGTTATCTCAACACATCATTGTGGAGAAGGCACTTGATCATGTCCATTATCTAGTGCCAGGTGGATGCCTCTGTCATAAGTCCACTCTTGCCCTTAAGTGTCAGGTCAAGGGCTGACAGTCCCAAAGCTAAGACTGCTGCCCTTTAAGTGTCAGGTCAAGGGCTGACAGTCCCAAAGCCAAGACTGCTGCCAGGGTGCCACGTGTTCGGAGCTCACATATTCTAGGTGATGTCATCTTCAGTGGTGTGGCCAGTTATTGTCTTCATCTCCTTGCTGTCCAAGACAAATCTGGAAATCATCTACTACTTTCATTCATCAGACTGCCTTGATTCAGGGGTCACAATGGCTTGCTGTCCAACACAAATCTGGAAATCATCTACTACTTCTATTTATCAGACTGCCTTGACCCAGGGATCACACTGGTATCTTGCACTTCGGGGGTTGAACCAGGACCTCTTATCTCAGTAGGGTAGTGCACTTATCACTATGCTAGTGCAGCTAACAAAGGTATATGGAGCTAGAGGTAGTAGTTGTGGAGCTAAAAGCTTGTAGTTGTGGAGCTAAAGCATGAAGTTGTGAAGTTAAAGCTTGTATTTGTGGAGCTAAAGCTTGTACTTGTGAAGAAAAAGTGTTTTAAGTCACACATATTATATCTATGTTTGTTTAAACTGTTTTTGATTGTCTATTAATTGTTTCCTTGGCCTTCCTAAATGATCAGGTTTCATTCTATTATAATGTCCGAATCATTTTATGTGTTGCCTCTCTTGATGTTATACCATATTTATATTGTCATCTGCTTACATTCTGCATCTTTTGGAAACCTGACGGATTTTCTCCATTTCATCTCACATAAGATGTGTCTGCACGTGTTTCACAAGTCTAAGATTGACAGTAAAGTACTAGAAGGAAAATTATTTTCAAATCATTTTCGTAACAACGATTGTGGTTATGTCAAATGAATGAATGAACAACACACAAACAGTACATTTAAGATGATATTAGCTATTACCTGTCATCTATAGCCTTGGCAAGTAAGGCCCTCTTGCGTTTGTTGGCTTCCTCAATCACCTGCTGTCTTTGCTGGAATTTGTGTACATTCCCAAGCTCAACACTGAAACCACACAAAAACAAGGCAGTGATTATCAGATATTGCCACTAGGTTTTCACATTTTCTAGAACCGCACATATGTGGGATGGTCAGATCCATCCCTTGTTGTTCTCTTTCTCAGACAATTCCTGAACAATTCTAAACATTATTTGAGACCAATTCTTATGAAGCTGGGTCCACCCCAGAACCATACTGATCACAGACTACAGTCTTGACATATCTAACAACTACGCCATCATAGCACAGTATGTCAAGTACTGCCATCATGGTACAGTAAGTTGAGTAGTGCCATCATGGCACAGTAAGTCAAGTACTGCCATCATGGCACAGTAAGTCAAGTACTGCCATCATGGCACAGTAAGTCAAGTACTGCCATCATGGCACAGTAAGTCAAGTACTGCCATCATAGCACAGTAAGTCAAGTACTGCCATCGTGGCACAGTAAGTCAAGTACTGCCATCATAGCACAGTAAGTCAAGTACTGCCATCGTGGCACAGTAAGTCAAGTACTGCCATCATGGCACAGTAAGTCAAGTACTGCCATCATAGCACAGTAAGTCAAATGCTGCCATCATGGTGCAGTAAGTCAAGTACTGCCATCATGGCACAGTAAGTCAAGTACTGCCATCATGGTACAGTAAGTCAAGTACTGCCATCATGGTACAGTAAGTCAAATGCTGCCATCATGGTGCAGTAAGTCAAGTACTGCCATCATAGCACAGTAAGTCAAATGCTGCCATCATGGTGCAGTAAGTCAAATACCGCCATCATGGCACAGTAAGTCAAGAGGTGCCATCATGGTACAGTAAGTCGAGTACTGCCATTATAGCACAGTAAGTCAAGAAGGTTAAAGATCCTTCTGATGCTACTGGTGTATCAGGCATTTGCTGCCAGACCCATGTTTTTACAGACCAGTCAGCACTCAATGGGTGATGGGGTTAACATCACCAGACCAGTCAGCACTCAATGGGTGATGGGGTTAACATCACCAGACCAGTCAGCACTCAATGGGAGATGGGGTTAACATCACCAGATCAGTCAGCACTCAATGGGTGATGGGGTTAACATCACCAGACCAGTCAGCACTCAATGGGAGATGGGGTTAACATCACCAGACCAGTCAGCACTCAATGGGTGATGGGGTTAACATCACCAGACCAGTCAGCACTCAATGGGTGATGGGGGTTAACATCACCAGACCAGTCAGCACTCAATGGGTGATGTGGTTAACATCACCAGACCAGTCAGCACTCAATGGGTGATGGGGGTTAACATCACCAGACCAGTCAGCACTCAATGGGTGATGTGGCTAACATCACCAGACCAGTCAGCACTCAATGGGTGATGGGGTCACCATGACATCAGCCACTTCTAATTCCCATGAAATGACCTGATACCAATGAATGCCTGGTCGACATGGCAGCCAAGCTGATTTGATGGAAATCCACCTCAGTGCATTCTTCAAACCCAAGATATTTGGGCTGGAAGGCAGCATCTAGCCACCACGCCACCTGCGCCTCCCATTATGGCTAAGCAAGTAAGGACCCTTTTTATGTCTGTGCCAAACAGGCATATAGTGCAAGATATATATTTATAGATCACAGCATTCTAGCCGCATTTACTTCCTTGATACCCAGTTAAGGATGGGTGAACCTGGGAGTCAAGGTCATTTTACAATAATCCACCTCAGCGAGGATTCAAACCCAACACTTTTATGTTGACAGTTATGTATATGCTACTTTTTTAAAAATCGTCAACATTACGTGACATATTCGACCATATTTGGATCAAAGACCTTTCACCCTGGTAACACTAAAAGAAATAAGTCATGATCCCATGGGTTTTCTCATTAAAAAAAATCCATTAAAAACATAAATTTTACATAGGTCACTAATTAATAATTATAAAATTAATTTATGTACATGTACACAAAATAAAACTCTTGAAATATATATGGATACATAAAGGAAGTTATCCAAAAAGTATAAACAGATGAAGTATTCAATGGAATATATTCCCTGCGGCCTTTATACAAATTTATCAGGTGACTCATGTTACCCAGTGACATTTATCACTGAGGTTCACAGGAAAATTTGACGTCAGCATTGCTTTAAAAAAAAATTAGTCTGAAGGAACCCCCACCCCCCTTCCCCAAATGCTATGTTTACCACATATATACACATCCTGATCTCATCAAGATTTATGCAAGCATGAACACAGCTAACAGCATAAACTATACAAACGGTAAAACACCAATATAGACAAGTCAGGAAAGTGACATTTATGGGGAGTTGGTCCCACACCAGAAGTACTGCTGTTGTGGCTTCTCAGGGTGACAGAGATAAGGCAGATACTACAACAGATGTGCGAATTTATAAGACAATTGTACACTGTTGCACTGTATAATGCTCCATGATTCTTTTCCAGTGGATATATACAAGACCAGTCCCATCCCAACCCCATCTGTTCAAGAACTAGTGATTTAGTACACCAAATCTCCCCCGTGTGGGTTCCGGGCCCCATTGTGGGAAAACAAGAATAGACCCACTGCCTCCCCAAAAGCATGTCGTAAGAGTCGACTAATTGGGGAGGTTCCTTTGAAGTTGGAGTGCATCTGCTGGAGAGGCAAGGAACCAACAGTTCTCTATTCAAGAGAATGAGATCTGTAAAACTGATGCACACGCAACACTCAGGTTCTGGAGCAGGACTGCAGTTCAGTAGTGGACGAGCAGGCCAGAACTTTGCCAAAGTGTACAGCTGGTACGCGAAAGACGAAGCACACCAAATCCAACTGTTCAAGAACTAGTGTGTCAGTACACCAAATCCAACGTTCAAGAAGAGTGATTCAGTACACCAAATCCAACTGTTCAAGAACTAGTGATTCAGTACACCAAATCCAACTGTTCAACTAGTGATTCAGTACACCAAATCCAACTGTTCAACTAGTGATTCAGTACACCAAATCCAACTGTTCAAGAACTAGTGATTCAGTACATCAAATCCAACTGTTCAAGAACTAGTGATTCAGTACACCAAATCTAACTGTTCAAGAACTAGTGATTCAGTACACCAAATCCAACTGTTCAAGAACTAGTGATTCAGTACACCAAGTCCAACTGTTCAAGAACTAGTGATTCAGTACACCAAGTCCAACTGTTCAAGAACTAGTGATTCAGTACACCAAGTCCAACTGTTCAAGAACTAGTGATTCAGTACACCAAGTCCAAATCAAGAACTAGTGATTCAGTCAAGTCCAACTGTTCAAGAACTAGTGATTCAGTACACCAAATCCAACTGTTCAAGAACTAGTGATTCAGTACACCAAATCCAACTGTTCAAGAACTAGTGATTCAGTACACCAAATCCAACTGTTCAAGAACTAGTGATTCAGTACACCAAATCCAACTGTTCAAGAACTAGTGATTCAGTACACCAAATCCAACTGTTCAAGAACTAGTGATTCAGTACATCAAATCAAACTGTCAAGAACTAGTATTTCAGTACACCAAATCCAACTGTTCAATAACTAGTGATTCAGTACACCAAGTCCAACTGTTCAATAACTAGTGATTCAGTACACCAAGTCCAACTGTTCAAGAACTAGTGATTCAGTACACCAAGTCCAACTGTTCAAGAACTAGTGATTCAGTACACCAAGTCCAACTGTTCAATAACTAGTGATTCAGTACACCAAGTCCAACTGTTCAAGAACTAGTGATTCAGTACATCAAATCCAACTCTATCCAAAGAAACTAATCACACACACACAATCTTTTTTTTTTCCTTCTGGAAACTACAGGGTAAAAGAAATAGAGGAATACGCCAAAGCATAGAGAAGTATTAGAGGCAAAGATGAGTAACACAACAAAAACTTGACATGAGACAGTGAAGATGAAGAAATTGTAGAATGAGCTAGTTGAGGGCCTATAGATAGCTGAATGGAAGATAAGAATCTCACCTCATTGCCTCATGTTCATTAAGCTCTTTAATATAAGTGCTCCCACTTTGTGACTGTTGGCTAGAAGAAAGACTCGTCTTATCACTGTCTGACACACTATTAGCTTCACTTTTTTCATCGGTGGGACTTTTTGCCTGTAAACTGTGAAGCCTGTCTGTCTCCTTTGTCTTTATGTCATGATGAGAGTTTGTTACTGAGCCAGCTGCTTGCTGATTCTCTTTCTTTGATCCCTCAGGAGGGGATGAATTTGCTGATAATTTCATCCTGTCTGTGACATTTTCTTTTACTGACGTGGCTTCTGGGTTCATATTCAATCGTGGTGACCTCATGACCTTCCCTTGTTGCAGCTGTTGTTTGCGGACATGTGCTTCCTTTTTAGCTGCAACTTGTTCATCTTATGTTGAAGTTAGAAGAAAATTTAATGTAAATGTTAAAAAAACATAAATTAGATGTTGAAAAAACAAATATAAAAGGAAACAACTCTCTAACTCTGGCCCAGGCTCTACCCACTTACACACTAGGTCACTTTTGATTGGTACTTGGTCAGGCTCATGACTTTGCTCAAGGTTACAGGGGTGTCCTGGTTTACTGTTTGGTTGAAAAGCTTTCTGTGTTGCCTTCTATTTGTGTTTTCATTCTGAGAAAGAGAATGCTTAGGACGTAAGCTGCAGCACTCTCATAGGGCGGGTGGTGGGAGGGGATTTGTGTTAGGGAAATTTCTGTATGTTTTGGGACCGTTTAAAGCGCTGACATCCAGGAATATACAATATGCGATATCACCAGCCACTAAAAAGAGCAGAGAAAGTTTTTTTGAACAAAACAGTACACAGGGACACCCCTGTAACTTCAGCAAAGTTGATGAGCCTAACAAAGTATGAATGAAAATGACCAAGTGTGGATGTGAGCGGAGCCTGGGCCCGGAAACTTAAGTTGAAACCTATTAAAAGTTATTAAGTAAAAGAACTTCTTCCACCCCTTCAAGTGTATTGGGCACCTACATAGTTAAATCGGCACTTGGTAAGTGATGTGGTCATCATCATGCCACCCACTTTCACTTCCCAGGGCTTTACCTGGTACCCATTTAAGGCTGGGTCGAACTGGGAGCCAATGTAATTTTTGTTTTGTAAAGTTAGGCTCCATCGGGACCTGAACCCAAAACTGTTCAATCGTAAGGTGAGTGTCTAACTGCTACACTACAGCAGCTCCCAGTAAGGTGAATGTTTAACTGCTACACTACGGCAGCTCCCAGTAAGGTAAGTGTCTAACTGCTACACTACAGCAGCTCCCAGTAAGGTGAGTGTCTAACTGCTACACTACAGCAGCTCCCAGTAAGGTGAGTGTCTAACTGCTACACTACGGCAGCTCCCAGTAAGGTGAGTGTTTAACTGCTACACTACAGCAGCTCCCAGTAAGGTGAGTGTTTAACTGCTACACTACGGCAGCTCCCAGTAAGGTGAGTGTCTTACTGCTACACTACAGCAGCTCCCAGTAAGGTGAGTGTCTAACAGCTACACTACAGCAGCTCCCAGTAAGGTGAGTGTCTAACAGCTACACTACAGCAGCTCCCAGTAAGGTGAATGTCTAACTGCTACACTACGACAGCTCCCAGTAAGGTGAGTGTCTAACTGCTACACTACAGCAGCTCCCAGTAAGGTGAGTGTCTAACTGCTACACTACGGCAGCTCCCAGTAAGGTGAGTGTCTAACAGCTACACTACAGCAGCTCCCAGTAAGGAGAATGTCTAACTGCTACACTACGACAGCTCCCAGTAAGGTGAGTGTCTAACTGCTACACTACAGCAGCTCCCAGTAAGGTGAGTGTCTAACTGCTACACTACGGCAGCTCCCAGTAAGGTGAGTGTCTAACAGCTACACTACAGCAGCTCCCAGTAAGGTGAATGTTTAACTGCTACACTACGACAGCTCCCAGTAAGGTGAATGTGTAACTGCCACACTACAGCAGCTCCCAGTAAGGTGAGTGTCTAACTGCTACACTACGGCAGCTCCCAGTAAGGTGAGTGTCTAACTGCTACACTACGACAGCTCCCAGTAAGGTGAATGTCTAACTGCTACACTACGACAGCTCCCAGTAAGGTGAGTGTCTAACTGCTACACTACGGCAGCTCCCAGTAAGGTGAGTGTCTAACTGCTACACTACGACAGCTCCCAGTAAGGTGAATGTCTAACTGCTACACTACGACAGCTCCCAGTAAGGTAAGTGTCTAACTGCTACACTACAGCAGCTCCCAGTAAGGTGAGTGTCTAACTGCTACACTACAGCAGCTCCCAGTAAGGTGAGTGTCTAACTGCTACATTACAGCAGCTCCCAGTAAGGTGAGTGTCTAACTGCTACACTACGGCAGCTCCCAGTAAGGTGAATGTCTAACTGCTACACTACGACAGCTCCCAGTAAGGTGAGTGTCTAACTGCTACACTACAGCAGCTCCCAGTAAGGTGAGTGTCTAACTGCTACATTACAGCAGCTCCCAGTAAGGTGAATATTTAACTGCTACACTACGGCAGCTCCCATTAAGGTGAGTGTCTAACTGCTACACTACGGCAGCTCCCAGTAAGGTGAGTGTCTAACTGCTACACTACGGCAGCTCCCAGTAAGGTGAGTGTCTAACTGCCACACTACAGCAGCTCCCAGTAAGGTGAGTGTCTAACTGCTACACTACGGCAGCTCCCAGTAAGGTGAGTGTCTAACTGCCACACTACGGCAGCTACCAGTAAGGTGAGTGTCTAACTGCTACACTACGGCAGCTCCCAGTAAGGTGAGTGTCTAACAGCTACACTACAGCAGCTCCCAGTAAGGTGAGTGTCTAACTGCTACACTACGACAGCTCCCAGTAAGGTGAATGTCTAACTGCTACATTACAGCAGCTCCCAGTAAGGTGAGTGTCTAACAGCTACACTACAGCAGCTCCCAGTAAGGTGAATGTCTAACTGCTACACTACAGCAGCTCCCAGTAAGGTAAGTGTCTAACTGCTACATTACAGCAGCTCCCAGTAAGGTGAGTGCCTAACTGCTACACTACGGCAGCTCCCAGTAAGGTAAGTGTTTAACTGCTACATTACAGCAGCTCCCAGTAAGGTGAGTGTCTAACTGCTACACTACGGCAGCTCCCAGTAAGGTGAATGTTTAACTGCTACACTACGGCAGCTCCCAGTAAGGTGAGTGTCTAACTGCTACACTACGGCAGCTCCCAGTAAGGTGAATGTTTAACTGCTACACTACGGCAGCTCCCAGTAAGGTGAGTGTTTAACTGCTACACTACGGCAGCTCCCAGTAAGGTGAATGTTTAACTGCTACACTACGACAGCTCCCAGTAAGGTGAATGTTTAACTGCTACACTATGGCAGCTCCTAGTAAGGTGAATGTCTAACTGCTACACTACGACAGCTCCCAGAAAAAGAAATAAAGATACTAGTAAAATATGTAGATGTATATGTTTATGCATTAACATATGCATAGTTATGAATGCAGGACGGAAAGATCCACACCAAAGGGCCTTGCCATATTTGTTTCAACGATTAAACCTTAGGAACATTCTGTGCGTGTTTTTCCTTGGCACAGGAGCGGAGTACCTATGGGGTGAACCATTTGCTATGAAGCTAAAACTAACCCTCTGGAGACTACGCGGCCAAAATATTGGCCCAACGCAAAGTAGCCAAAAGGACGGCTGGGCCGATCAGTCGGTTGTGTGTAATAAGAGCCTTGAGACTGTCTGGCAGGTTTTCGTACCAGCTAATCAGATTGCTTCTCGCATTACTTACACATGTGGACTGTTTAATGACGGCTTTAGAGAAAGTTTGATGTGTTCTGTCATTTTAAAGCGATTTTTGTGTGTGTGGTGGGCTTGCCAGTCCCCAACAGCAAAGAATAGGCCTGTTGCATCATAGCAACTCAAACATAGTAAAAGGCATGAAAATGAGTAGAACCATGTGTCAAAAGTGTCTGAACGCCCTTTATGAGGCCTTATTTAACAAACAAAAAACTTATTCAGGCTTCATCCGTAAAAAAATTCACCCACATTTTTCAGGTAATTCATGTTTGATCCCAAGTTTTAAAAAGAATATGCCTGCATGAATTAAGCAAATCATAATAGTTAATTTGAATAAATGTTGAGATTTCAGTTTGATTCCTACATATTCTGTTAGTTCATTTATTTTCCTCCCCAAATATGAACAGTTTTGTATATGTAAATTAGGCACATTATTTTTTATAATTTTTGTGTGCGTAAACTAAGATAATTCTTTTATGAAGGCTTCAGTTTTTTCACTGAAACTCCAAAAAAAGCTCAGTCTCCAAAGACCATCAACTTGAGTAGCAATGAAGTGATTAGTACAGTTGCAAACTGACCTAGTGGTTATCCCTAGTTATGTGTTCAAATCCGCCCTCCTTCAAAGATGGTCTAAAGTGGATATTACTATCCTACTAAAAATCAATTGTTGAGTTGTACAAAAAGTCATTATTAACAAACACTATAACTTTAATAGGGAAGTCGCCAATGGCGTAGAGGCTAGTGACTCACCTGCAGATCCGAAGGTCGTGGGTTCGATTCCTGGTGGAGCCTGACTTCTTTAAAAAATGACCTTGGCTCTCAGGTCGACCCAGCGGCTATCCTCCGAATAACGGTCCCAAATTATCAAGGTTGAAAATATACCCTAACAGGGCCTCAGTCACATGTTAATTGTGAACTTCTGGTGACTTAAATTGCACACTTGGCGACTTCCTCCACCGCCGAGAGTATCCCCCACGGCACTCAGGCGGCGTAGATTGGGGCTAAACTAGATGGCTGGGACTCACGAGCAGCAGCTACCGCGTGTCCCGCAGCTTCCTTCATTTTATTGCTCGTGAGTCCCAGCCATCTAGTTTAGCCCCAATCCACGTCGTGTGAGCGGCGTGTGGGATACTCTCGGCGGTGGCAGTACAGTTGCCAGAAGTTTGCAATTGACACGTGGCTGAGGTCCTGTTAGGGTATATTTTCAACCTCAATAATCTGGGACCGTTATTCGGAGGATAGCTGACCCAGCCTTGAGTGGGTACCAGGTGCACTCCGGGGAAGTAAAGGCGGCCGGCGTGATGCATGACTACATCACCCACCTTGTGCTGTTGGTCTAAAAAATATAGATCTAGCCCTATATACCCAATACGCCTGAAATGTGTGGGAAAAGGTCCTTTACTTTACTTACTTACTACAACTATAATAAGCAACGGCGTTCAATCAGCATATTTAAATGGTTTTAGATCTCAGGGAGTAATAAAAACTTAATGTCAAAAACAATTACAATATAATAATATATGACTTCAATCAATCTCCATTCCATCATCAACTATCCCCCCCCCCCTTTTTTTTTTTTTTTTTTTTGCAAATCAATATCAAAGACTGGACTGTCAATCCCTTACTTTTATTTTTATCATAGTAGTGGCTTTGGCAATACAATAGTCATAGAATAGTTTAATTTTTTTTTTTTTAAATAAAAACATTTTCTTGTGCCTTATTTTAGATTCCTACAATAATGTAATTGCGGAATGAAAAAAAGCTGCAGTGTTTGAGTAATTTATGTGTATGCTGGCTGACCTGTGAGCGAAGTTTGTCGCATCTTCCTCAGATCGTCGTCCGTAAACCCTGACCAGGTCGCCATGTTGGCAAACACACCGTTTGTACTCTCCCTGTCGCCTGCTGGAAGAGTTCTATTGTGTTATGTGTTGGCTTATCCCCCGCCTTCTCTAGAATAAATACAGTCGGGCGTGGCTTATCTTGGCGGCACTCTGGACACGTTCGTAGATTACCCCCTTCCCATTTATAAAAATCAGCAGCTCATAGTGGCATAGTGCTACAAGATCGCCTGCCGCCCTAAATACATTGTGTTTGAATCCGCATTGTCAAAAATCCCCCCTCCTCCACACACACACCCACCCAATTTACTTCTCCCTTTTCCTCTCAGGTCGACCCCGCCTAAAATGGGTTAGGGGTACCAGTTCAAATCCTAGAAAGTAAAGACGACATCTGCAATGTCGACCACATCAACCATCAAGAGTCAGTTGGTTTCAAAAACAAAAAACATGTCTAGCAAAGTGAGCCTAATGCGCAACTGATCTGAAAAGGGTCCTTTCCTTGTCTGAAGATACACTTTCAACACAACAGTTTTTGAATTTAGGTCAAACACAAAAAACACTTGTTTTTGTGAAAAAGTCGGTTCTATCCCAATAACTGCCCCCAAACATGAGAATTCCACAGATCACCTGACAGTCAGGATTAGGCTTATTGTCGTGCAATCTTTGGTTGGCATGCCATTTGTTATGCATTTGTGTGTGTGTTTGTGTGTGTGCAGAGTGTGTTGTTTTTTGGTGTGCCTTTTTCTGTGTGTTGGTGCAATTGGAAGGATGAAGTTTTTGTGGGTGGTTTCTTTTTTTTTTTTTTTTTTTCGTGGGACGGTTTCTAATTGGGCTTTTATATTTTTTCTTATGGGACATAGGTGGGTTGCGGTTTTGTGGATGGGGATCGTGGAACGTAGGTGGGTTGGAGTTAGGGTCAGTTGGGGATGTTTTTCGTTTGCAATTTGGAACACTCGATGTCAATGTGTGTGTTTTTTTTTTCCTAACTCTTTGTGCAATCGGGTAAAGCGCCAATTAGTGTACTGTGGGACTGGCCCCAACATGGGTCAATCATTTTAGATGTATACTGCTGGGTTCACGCACAAATTGACAATCAGTACAATTTTACACGTTAGTAGATCTGGAGAGAGGTCGGAATTCGACACCTGCTGTTGTGGCGGCAGCAGCAGCAGAGACGACAGACTATTGTCTGGTAGCCGGAATGCAACAATGTCTGCCAAAAGAGTCGCAAACAAATCGACAGGTCAATTTTCGACTCCATCATTTGTCTACTTTTTCCGTCAGGGAAAAACAACATCGCATGATTATTGCGACGTCTGGTGCTGTGCAGAATACTACGATATTGCCGGAAAACAACACTGCTCTCCTTGTCAGGCACTGATGATGCTAATTCCAGGAAATTCATGGCGATAAAGACTGAAAACACATAAGTCTCTGGAGTGGATAGACGCCCACCGCCGGAATGAAGACTACACACACAAAAAGTGGCAAAGAAACACGCGCCAACACCTTGGAAAAAGTTTGCAACGCTTAGCAACGGAGACACCGAGGACACACACAGCGGACAACCCATTAACACCGTGAAAAACTCCTGTTACCCCCTGAGATATTAAACTGTCCGGTGACCTGCGGAATTCCCGTGTTGTGGGGGGTTAGGATTGTGCCAAAAAGTTGATTATTTACATTTGAACTTTGTGCTGTATAACTCTTAAGAGGCAAACGAGCAAGGATCACCGTATATTTATTTACCTTGAATGAGCAAAAATGCATTCTAATTACTTAATACTCGAGGGCAAAAGATCTGACAAAACGTTGAGGATGAAGTAAATACTTAGCTATTAATTCATTCCTTTATATTCCACTAAAGTTGAGCCGTCGTGGTGTAGCGGCTACACGCTCGCTTGTAGATCGGGAAAGTCGTTGGTTCGCGTCCTGACGGAGCCATATTTTTTTTTAATGACCTTGGCTTCCAGGTCGACCCAGCCTTGAGTGGATAAAGGGTACACTCCTGGGAAGTAAAGGCGGTCGGCGGGATGCTAGCAACAATAGCCACCAAATGCCGATTGGTCTATAAAACACAGCTCTAGCCACATAAAAATTGGTACACTATATTTCAACTATAGCCATCTATGAACATGAAGCATGAAAACATCTTAAGGTAACTATGGTGATCACGCGCAATTTGGCTTGCTGGCCATAAATTCACATTCGAATCTTTTTTCTTCTGCAGTCAGAACGTGGTCGAGCTTTTCTTTTTTTTTTTTTCAAAAAGACTTGGACTTTGATTTTTTCTTCTTCAAACTTCCATGCAACCAAACAGGTAAAGTAATTGTGCGGACTGACACTCCACGTTCACTGGCGACTGTTCGTGAACAGTGTTCACTCCTAATGTGTTTAACATTAGCAGACTCCGGGAAGTTTCATTATTAGCAAAAACGGACTCCTGTAACTTCGAACTTCTGAAAGTCCGTACCGTGTGACGATGGTTGTCATGTCTTTCCACAACATTCTGTCTCGTGTACATTCAGTAAACTCTGATGCAGATAATCCTCTATGCCATGATGTCAAATTGTTCAGCATCTTTTCCCTCAGCCTCCCTCTGCCTCTTTTCCCTTCCAACTTTCCTACTGTCACGATGTACTCCAGTTTTCTTGTTCACATGACCAAAGAATGAACCACTAACGACTGATCCTAAAATTGTCAAGTAAAACCCCCAGTGAGACAATAAATTCTCTATGTTGGTTTGTAAACACAACTGTTATTACTGTCTGCATATTCCCTTTGTGCGGGGGACTGAGTGGTCTCGGGGCATGGCGTCCGCATCGAGTGCTGGAGGTCCCGGGTTCAGGCCCTTGTGATGGCTGAGATTTTTTCACGTGGACTTCTAGTAATTTTCTCTGGTCTGTGGGTAGTAAGATCAGACGCCCGTGTGTATTACTGCGCACGTAAAAAAAATCCCTTGGCAGTTATAAATCAAAAGAAGTGGCCTAAAGGCGATGCCGAAGCAAAATGTTAGGTAAAAAATCTACCTAAAGTATTTCAGGATCATCGCTGGTGCTACGGAATTCGTGCACTGCGCTGAGATTCTTTGAACGCAGTCTCGAGTCAGAAGTAGAACTGAGCACTTGTGGGGACGTTGATCCGTTGTATAAACCAAGCAGTATATGAACTCTTTGTGCGGTGTAGGCAGGGTCGAGGTGAATCTGAGATTTTAGGCTAGCATGGCTAGTACAGTCGCCAAGGACTGTGCGACTAACAATTGATAATGAGCTGGTGGAAGGATGAAAACGAAAAACAAGAAGTAGGGAGACAAGGGAAGAAATGTGATTGGAACAATAAGTAGTTCCCCGCCGAACTGCAAAAAACAGGAGAAGCAAAGAAAAGACAAGGTTTCTTCTGTGAAGGGGCCATACAATATTGCCCACAACACAGGCAATTATTATGTGTATATTGTTTGTCCATCACGAGCGATGAGGACCACTTTTCATCCAAAGTAGCAATGATCAACGGTTGTGAATACGAAGGTTTCTGATTAGTCCAATATTAGCCCGGAAAGTTTTTGAGCAGTGCGGACAACAGGTGGAAGCCGTAGTAAGTGTGAGATTAGCGATACGGTTCTTCCTAGTCTGCCTGTGCGACGCCTTCGAAAATTACAGGCCCTGAAACTCGACTGGTGACGTCACTTCCCGAGGCAAACAAAATGGTTGTATCAGTGTGTGTTCGGTTTTATTTTTCTTGTGAAAGTTTTTAATGTGGTTTAATTTTCACGTCTGATTCACCTAAAAGCGGTATTTCAGGGAGTAGATTTAGTAAGCAATTTCTGCAATTTACGTTGGATTTATCGTCAGTGTGTTGGTTTTCGAGGAACTATGCCTGCTAAATGTTCTGTACCTGAGTGTCGTTCAAATTATGACCTTTCTAGTGGATATGTAAGTTGCTTCAGATTCCCTTTGAATTCTCTTTTAAGAGACAAATGGCTGAAACATATTCCACGGAAAAATTGGACTCCTGGGAAAACCAGTGTAGTATGTATAAAACATTTTCGTACGTCAGATATTATTGTGTCTGATAAATATACAGACAAATCTGGAATCGAGCATATACTCCCAAGAAAGAATCCCGCTTTAAAAAAAAGATGCTTATCCAACTATCTTTCCAGATCTTCCATCCTATTTATCGGTGAAAGTACCAGCCTCTCGCAAAACTCCAGAGGAACGTGTATCACATATTAATCGTAATTACGATCGAAAAGTGAATGATTGGCTGTCCTCAGATATCATTACAGATTTCCAAGATCTGGAGTCACAGATAGGAAACAAACTGAAAGGACACTTTGAAAAAAATTGGAAATACACTTCTGTAGATGGAGCTTTAGCATGTATTGTTTTGTATGTCATTACCATACAGTCAGACTCTGCACCATCCATAGGTGTCAGCATAAAGGTGTTACTTGATATGACTATACAAGTCTTTGTTCAAAATAAAAAAGTTAAAGACAAAGACCTTAAATGGATTGTAGACAACAAATAAACTTGTGAGATGGTCACAGCTTGAAAATCTTGTAATTCATTACAATGCCTGGGATTATAGTAAAATTCATAGCCAAAATAGCTTCACAGATTTAGTGGAAGAAGCAGGAAGTATTTTGAAGAGTGCTGCAGAGCAACAGTGGACTCCTAATGGGACAGCTGATGAAGTAACTGACACACAAGTAAACTTTCTTGCAGAGCAGCTGCAACTTTTAACCGTGTTAAAAAACAGAAGGCGTTACAGTTGTAGCACATTATGTTTCGCTTTCATGCTGTTCATTAAATCTCCAGCATGCTACCGGTTTATAAGAAAATCTCGTATGTTGTGCCTGCCTCATCAAAGAACACTGCACAATTTAACTTCACAGTTGTCATTGTCTACTCATACTGGCAGCATTTCACAGTACTTGAAATTGAAACTAGACAAACTGACAGAGTTAGAAAAGATTGTAGTAGTTCAGATGGATGAAATATATGTTAAATCTGCAATTACTTAC